ATAAGAAATCCGCAAGCGAAGAGACCGTGAGAACCGGTAAAAGCAGTCTGCTTGTGGTACCGACCTGTCAGTTTAGGGATAGGAATCCCATTTCTTGCAGGAGCAGGAAAACGTTTATGTCCTCCACAGCGTCCAGGTCAGCTCTGATAGCTATCCAGCCTTTTAAAGCATTGGATGTCGAGGTTAAAGCGACCGGAATTTGAAGCTGACCCATAACCTCCGTCTAGTGCCGAGGTTAAAAATACGCTTAACTACACCTCCACTTCCCCACATGTTCTGATGCTTAATTAACAAGCACAGCGAAAACTTTATTACATTTTTTAGCCTACTTTCCAAAAACAGGCTTATGCTGTCACCATACTGTCTGTGTATCCCCCCAGTCTTTATGAAACTTGGTATGTATGTCATGGCAATTGAGCCAATTTCAATGGCGTGCTTCATAAAACCCTCATATCAGTGTTTGCGTCTGTATGTGTATCCCTCTTTCAGGTGCTAGGAAACGGCTCTGTAAACACGTTCCCGCAACAACGAATACACGAAAAAGTAGAAACATATTTAGACGCGTTATTTTCTGTGCGGTCCGTGTCTGACTCTGTATTCCCCTGTTACCGTGGTGTGCTGATAGTTGGGTAAGAGGAAGAGTTTTGGTTCCATCTTCAGGTGTGTTCCATGGTGTTCCGTGTGTATCCTGCTAAGTCTGAACTGTACTCCTCAAACCACGGCAGTGTCCGCACTAAATCCTTTTATCAGATCATCAGTTGCTGACAGAACACACCATTGTGCTTGTAAATTATTTTGCAGATAGTGGCGCAAGCTGTTACGTCATCATTAGATGGTCACTAGATTCTCTTTTCAAAGTACAGTGTGAAAATACGGGGATATTTCTGTGGGATTTGCGATGGGTAAAGTGAAAATGGGGCAGAAATGAGTTGCCTCCACGTCGTTCAGCACTCAACCAGTTCTCCACACACCTCTCTCATCAGGGACTGGTACTATAGGGACATTTGGGACCGCAGTACCAAGGGACTAGCCATCGCTAGGAGAGTGATTCTTTGGTTCGGAGTCCCACGGGAGTCACGACCATATCTTACTGTCTGACGGATCTGGTAGCCCTCAGAGGACGCCAGGGACTCAGCCTTAGTTTTTTTTATTGCTAGTGGGGTGGGACTAAGTCCCTTGTACTGCGGCCACTTCTGGTCTATTGTACCAGCCCCAGATGATAAGTGAGGGTGATTGTGGTGCACTTGGTAGAATGATGATTTGCAGGGGAAACCAAAGTACTCGGGATAAAACCTGCACCAGCACCACTTTGTCCACCACAAACCCTACTTCACCAGACCTGGGATCGAACCCGGGCCGCCGCGGTGGGAAGAGAGCGACTAACCGCTTGAGCTATGGCGCGGCCCCAGCTTTACTTTACTCCAAGCATAAAAATTGTAACTCGTCATATTTCCGCAATGGTCTGTACCAGATTCGCTTTCGCCGTAGTCATGCGGCAACTTCTCCAACACGCGTGTAAGGCGTGAAGCCTGCCTTGGCGCGATTCCGGCTGTACCATCGCTCGCGCTTTCTGCTAATCTTGCGACAGTTATGCACTTTGCCTTGCGATTTTCCAATGTTTATTCCTGTACCACTGTCCATATATAAAACACTGCGGTTAACAAACAAGCCGAAAGAATTGTAACCTTGCACACAGATGAATGTCACCCTATCCGTGGCCCGCGGATCAATTCCGACCCTCAACTTTTCGTAACTTTAGTACCGAGCAGGAAATGTGACCAATGAAATTATAATTGTCCCTGCGCTTAAAGTAAGCCACTTTACCGACGTGGACCCAATCGGAAAGGAGACTGCGTGAGTCCCAGGGCAGGTTCTGACGCCTGTTGCCTCCTGACGGGAATTGGCCCCAGATCATACGGGCGGTAGCCTACACTGTACTGAGTAATGTTCCCTAGAAGTTGTTAGAACTTCCTCGCTTCGAGGGCGTAGGGCCCATTACAGGAAATATTTCATGGGCAATTTGGGCTCCCCTCAGATTTGAGGCTATCACGGCAGTAGGGATTGATATCGTGCTCTTGTGGATTATGACACCGTGTAGTCTGGTAGGTGGCTGCCACCGTGTCGGAGGAATTTCCTGCCCCGAACTTAGAAAGTCAAGGTGGACGCACATTGAAGAAATTGCTGTAGCAGTCACATCTAGACATGTATTTGCGGCTATCTTGACTGATGGTTTAGCGATTTTCCTCAGTTCCTCCAGACAGCTAATGAGACAGCGCCTCAGTTAGACCACTAAGCTATCTTTCAAGACTTATAATGTAAAAAAGTGAATGAATGGAATGCGCATCTGTGGAAATTACATTTTTTTCCTTGGCACTACAGCCCCAGTGGGCCTAGGCCTACCTCCATGAACTTCTCAGTTCACTTCGGTTTTTCTATATCTTACACATTCGGTAGGACTCCTTGGGCGGGTGATCAGCTCGTCGCAAGGCCTCTACCTGTATACAAACACAGAAAAACGCACACACATAAACTAAACATCCATGCCCTTAGTGGGATTCGAACCCACGATCCCGGTTTCCAAGCGAGCGAAGACAGTACATGCCTTAGACCGCTGGGCTACCGTGACCTGCGGAAATTACATATAGAGACAGAAAATTTCGAATCTTGCAGTTCAATTTTGAATGGGTACATCACTTTTCAAGTTGATAACCTGGATATTCGGTGATATTATGATTTCAGATGCTTCCTCAAGGTCTATAATGCATAGGAATATATCCAGAGGAAGGAAATCTGTTAAAATCGTGCATGGATATAGAAAATATTAAATATTCCATTTTAATTTTCGACGGGTACTTAAGTTCTCAAGTTGATAGCGTGGATATTCAGTGATATCATGATTTCAGGTACGTGAAACTACATCAGTGGAAGGGATATCCCTGGAAAGTGTGGCAAGGGACGCAACGTTTAAAATATTTCAATTGAGATTTCAACGGGTACTCCACTAGTTGTGTCTAAACCACGCACGTTTCGAGCGTGAGCCTCTGTAGCTTGTGCGGTAGAGATAAGGGATCGTTTCCCCGATATGGGCTTGGTTCGGTGATAACCCATTTCTCATGAACTGCGAAGCATCTGCATTAGAAGACTTCGGTCAGTGCGCAGAGACGAACGGTCTGATGAAATGGCCGCAATTCATCAATCATCACACGCACGCAACCTTTAGAGATGGCACGGAGTCATAAAGTTGAAAAGAAACCTTCCCTCAAGCGGGACCGGGTTGCAAACCCGGTCAATGAAATAATATTTCTGACGGACAAAGCAAGGCCGGATGATTCAATCGCCCCAGCGTGATATGCTTACTATTATGATTAATGCTAAACGACGTCCCGTCTCTAGGCCTCTCACATACAGGGACCACTGGTTCGAATACCGCTCGAGGCATGTATTAACCTGCGATAATAGAGGCCTTGACCCAAAGCTTGTAGGTTACTTCTTCCAGAATTTATTATCCTTGTGAGCAAGGCAAACACGAAACGGCACCATTTCTCAAAAAGCTGCAGTATTTGGTTCGGCAGTGATTAAAATGTCCTAGAAATAAATTCTGTGGAGGTAAATTTCTCTCTGTGCTTAATCAAACACCACGCCATGAGGGCGTATAGGGGAGTGGAGGTGTAGTTCTACAGATTCTTAACGTCGACACTAGATGAAAGTGAGCGGTCAGCTTCACGTCCCAGCCTCTTTACCCCCGTGTGGAGAGGAGGCTGGTTGGGCTTTAGAGCCGGTCTGGACGCTGTGGAGCAAATAAATATCTCTTGCCTTCCCTCCGCCTCCGCGAACAGTGGGATTGTGGGTTCGCATCTCACCAGGAGCGACTGCGCCAGACCGGCTCTCGTGAAGGCAGGCCTGCCAACTGTCTACAAGATTCTCAGTTCGAGAAACTGATTCTGAAGTGAAGGAGGCCTAGTCCGCCATAGCTGTAGGAGGAGGAGAAGAATAAGAACAGGAGAAGGAAAGGAAGTAGGAGGAAGGAGAAGAAGAGGAAGAAGTAAGATAAGAGTGAGGAAGATGAGAAAAAGAAGAGACTGGTCAAAGAAGAAGAAGGAGGAGGAGGAGGAGGAGGAGGAAGGATAAGAACACGAGGATGAAGAGGGCTACGAGGGGTGGGAGGAGGGAGAAGAGGGAAGGAAGAGGGAGAAGAGGGGAAGGAGGAAGGAGAAGATGAAGAGGAAAATGAGGAAGAGGAGGGAGAGGAAGAAGAGGAAGAGGAGGAAGTATGAAAGCCTTCCCAATATGTAGGTCTGTATTTAGTACATATGATATGAAATCAGTGTGTGTTTTCAACGGTTAAGAATCTTCGGGTTCCATAGAATGCTGGCAAATACTTGAGTAGCTGAGCGACTGGCAGCTTCAGTTAGTTAGATATGTTTCCAAGTACTGAACATGGTGTCGTAGCGGTAACGCTCTGTATTTGTATTCAGGAGGTGCTCTCCTCGAACCTCGGTCGGGTTACCGTCTGTCCTGATTGAATTTCTCGTGGTTTCCCTCAGTCCCTCCTAGCAAATATAGGGACAGTACCTCGACTTGGCCACGTCCACTTCCTTCTAAATCTTTTCCAGTACTTGTTTGTCAACGTTTCGGAGGAACGCAGTGCCTCCATCTTCAGGGTCGAAGAGTAAGCCAAGAAAGCAAGCAGTTTACTTTATTTCTTGCTCCTCCTACAGAAATACACGGCGTCACATCCCAGAATGTTTTGTTCCTTAGGGAAGTGGGGTGTCATGACCTAAAACACTGCAGCTTTGACAGAGGGCGACCCGACGGCGCGGGAGTTAAGCTATCTTTCCACTATTGCATCTAAAATTGGGCCGAGGAGGGCAGGAGGCGTGTAGTGGTGGGGGGAGTGACGTAACGCGGGTAGGGGAACCAAAATACGGTGCCGGGAGAGGGGGCCACGCGGGAAGCTGTCCCCGGTGGAATGTATACAAGACTGTGTCTGCAACAGACACTCACACACTCCCGGTCAGCCGCCAAAGAGCAGAGCACGTGTACGGAGGGCTTCCAGTAGGTCTCAGTTCCACCAAGTCGTCGGGAGTCAAATATCAGTTGTAGTTTATCATTTAGGGAACGGGTGACCTACCATCAGCTGATACACTCATATTGAGCAGAATATCCTCGCAACAATACCCAATTCCATTTCTTCTGCTGTGAGTATAGTGGCATGTTTCTGTTTTAGTGTCTGCATTAATCAAGTCTAAAGTCGAACGTTTTTTAAGCTGTTTAATCTTAATTAATATTAATTTTAGGGCCTCATAACAAGGATATCACCAAATTGAAATAACATTTGATGAGTTAGACGTACACAGTGGTTCAGCTGTTGATTCTGCTTTTGGGTATTTTCATTGTGTGATGAAGTACTGACGTTTCGCAGTCATATGTTACGTCTGTCTTCACGGTGAAAGTTAGTGTGGTGGGCGAGTTCGCAAACAGTTTGGGCATACGATGCATAAACTCAAGAGCAGATTCTCAGCATCAAGAATAAGGTTCGTTGCGATTTCTGACTCTCGAGAAAACTGTTTCGTTAAAGTAGGTAGAGGTTTTCGTAGAACAGTCTTTACGGTGCGAAATTTTGCAGGGGAATTTGGCTGTGATCCACATCAGATGAGCCGAAAAGGATTGAAGACCCCAGCTGGGGCTCATACTCCCCAACAAATGTTGCTGACGCCAGGGGTGAGTGTTATCAAACTTGTACTTCGCTTGGTTTCTTTTGCTGCCTCTTATCCGAGAGAGGGCTCCCAGAGAGTGGATTGTATCATCCGAAGGGGGGGGGGGACAGGAAGGGAGCACCCAGAAATATGTTTTTATAAATTTACGGTGAAATATGAAAATATTTTTATTGATTGTTTTTGTCTCTGTATTGGAACATAGGTGACGTCACCTATTGTGTTTAAGATCCTCTGATATTAATCATTTAGAGACGGACTGATCGGCCGGCCGACTGACAAATTGCTGTTGGCCCTCGCCAGCACAGTGGTTCTTTCTTCCGAGACCCGCAGGACCATATTTTACTGTCTCACGACTCTGGACGTCCTACTGACCGACTCGCGGGTCTGCTCTGCGTGGAACAAAGAGAAAATCCGTGGTTTTAGTCCGCAAGGGAACTATACCGACCGAGCGACCGCCGCTTGTCGACGAAGTGCTCTGTGTAGTACATAAAATAAAGTTCGTACCTCACCGGGAACGCACCGTTTATGAAGTGTGGGAGCCTCGACGTCTCACAACCCTATGGGCCTCCATGGCCTATTACAGGGATGGCTTTTTCCTTTTAACGACGCTGCTAGTAACACAGCATTCGGAAGGCTATGGAAGGAAGCGGTCGTGGCCTAACTTGAACTTATATCCCGGCATTAGGCGCCCCCAGCGTTATCAGTGGAGCAGTATTGCACAGTGACACTGTATAGTCCCGTATTAATTCACAGATGAACAGACTTCTTGGCTTTGTACAGCTCCGAGGTTGATCTCTTGGCTTTTTGACCCTGAATATGACGGCAATATGTTCCTTCGAAACGTTATGCATTTTTGCCCACAATTTAGCGTCCAAATTCGGCCAAGAGTATATTGTTTTTCAGAAATATTTTTAGTTTTGTTTTCAAAGCACACATACCCACCCACGACCACAGAAGTTTTCTGTGTAAGCCACTTGTCATATTCCCTTTCTCCAAATTCGCTCTGTTGGCGTAAGGAAGGGACACATTCCTGTTGAGTTCGTGACAGAGGAAAGTGGTTCTGGAAATAAAGCAATAAATCTTACGATTCAGGTAGACCCGTCTGTCATCCATAGCTGCTTGTGCCTCAGATGATGTGTTGCTGGAGCGCATATTTACAGGGGACACAGCGCGGCTAGACCTACAGAAATTCTGATTTGGCGAACTGGTTTAACGCGTGTTACTTCATAATATTCCTCGGGGAGAAGAGAAATATATATAAGGTGGGAAAGCCAGAAGGAAAGAGGCCAGTAGGAAGACCAAGACGTAACTCGGTGGATAATATTAAAATGGATCTGAGAGAAATATGATAGGGTGGTATGATCAAGCTCGCCGGTCACGGTAGCCGAGCGGTCTAAGGCGTGCACTGTCTTCGCTTGCTCGGAAGCCGGGATCGTGGGTTCGAATCCCACTCAGGGCATGGATGTTTATGTGCGTTTTTCTGTGTTTGTCTACAGGTAGAGGCCTTGCGACGAGCTGATCACTCGCCCAAGGAGTCCTACCGAATGTGTAAGATCTAGTAAACTGAAGTGAAACGGAGAGTTTCATGGAGGTAGGCCTAGGCCCAAATTGGGGCTGTAGCGCCACAGGGAAGGGAAGGGTATGATCAAGCTCAGGATATGCACCAGCGGAGGACTGTTGTGAACACGGCAATGAACCTTCGGGATCCATAAAATGCTGGGAAGTTCTTGAGTAGCTGCACAACTGGCGGCTTCTCAAGAAGGGCTCAGCTCTGTGAAGTTACTTCTAATATTCAAGGACAAGATGGAAAAGCATGTAGCAGGCATGAGAGAGAGAAGAGATTTAGAAGGAAAGAGGCCACTACAAAAATATTTACATAGGTGGGAGGATCATATTAAAATGGATCTGAGACAAGGAGGATGGGATACTATTGACTGGATTTATCTGGCTGAGGGTGGGGAAGAGTGGAGCGCTCTCGTGAGTGCGGTAATGAAGCTGGGAGATTTGACTAGCTGAGCAAATATCAGCTTTGTTCAGGAGTCCGCTCCAGGGACAAGGAGAGTCCAGAGGGATCAGTGTAACAGCCGCCGAGAATTTGATGCGCTACTGCCAAATGCGTAGGTTGGATGCTTCTTTCAAAATGCCAATTTCAAACAAGCGCAGCTACCAAATTCAGAAATGTAATTAGATTAATTCCTCGTTAATCTGGAGTAATTGAGGGGAGCTGGTTCAGATTAAGCGATAATCCAGAGTAGTGAAGCAAAATGTAGTCATAAAAGGTAAAGTTGTCTCTGTGCTTAACTAATTAAGCACTAGGCCATGAAGGCGTATGGGGAAGTGGATGTATAGATCCACATTTTCTTGACCTCGGCACTAGCTGGAGGTGAGTTGTCAGCTTCACCCCCCGCCACTTTACCCCAGGGGTAAGAGCCCCCGGTACCCATTGGATAGGAGGTTAGGTGGACCCCACAGCCGGTCTGGACGACGCGGAGAGGAGAAAATTGTTGACTCTACCGGGACTCGAAATCAGACCCCTCGGCCGTGCAGCCCGTAGCCAGTCGCTGTAGCGACTCCTAAAGGTAGCCCTAAAAGACAAAGAACACAAACAAGCGGACAGCTTAGTGCTATAAGCGGTGCTGATGAAAATAAATAAAAAAATCACTGCAGAGCTTTTATTTCAGAACTGTAAGAAGGCAGTACATTTATCGATAGAAGACTCAGAAGTTTGTTTCTGAACGTACTGATGCAGGTCTGAAGAGACTGTCTCAAGTTCTGTCTGAACAGACAAATGACTCATCTGCCTTCCTGAATGCCCCGTGTCTTTTAAAATATGCACTCAACTGTGAGGGGGGCACTATGCTACAAGCCGGAAGGTCACGGGTTCGAATCCCGATGCAGTCGCTGGATTTTTTTTCAATTGACCTAATACTTCCAGCCGCACTATGGCCCTGTGGTCGACTCAGCCTCTAACAGAAATGAGTACCAGGAATGTTTTTGGAATATTCTCGGGGGTAAAGGGCGGCCGGCGCGTAGGGCTCACAACCTCACCGCCATCTGTGAGANGGCCCTGTGGTCGACTCAGCCTCTAACATAAATGAGTACCAGGAATGTTTTTGGAATATTCTCAGGGGTAAAGGGCGGACGACGCGTAGGGCTGACAACCTCACCGTCATCTGTGAGCCGATTTTCTAGGAAATATGCGAGCCTCGACGTCTCACAACCTTATGGGCCTCCACGGCCTGTTACAGGGATAGTTTTACTTTGCTTTACTCAACTGTGAACAAGTTTTTTTTTATTTTTCATATTTCGATCCGGATTAACTATAACCGGATTAGCGAGGGTTTAACTGTATGCCCTTGGCGGCATATTTCTTCAAGGTATGGAGTTAGCTGATATGCCAGAGGCAAAGAATTGTGTTATGGAAATTACATGAGAGCTGCAACCTTACGAATTTCAGAGGCTTCACGTTCATTTTGTTTGTGATGGAAAGTGTGAATAAAGTGTTCCATAAAACCCGTGGTTCCATAATACCAGTGGCTGCATAATACCCGTGGCTGCATAATACCCGTGGATCTATATCATCCATGGTTCCATATCAGGCCGGGTTGTATATTATCCACGGTTTGGTATTACCCGCGGTTTTTATTACGATTTGAAGCAGTTCTGTCTCTACTCTCTGGCACTTCAGTTCGAGAAACGCGAAGTGCAGGAAGTGGGCAGGATATCCTGAGCACAGTGTAGCGCGGGTCACAGACAGCCCCCTGTCGCCTGTGGAAACAGTGATTACGCTTGGGATAAGAGCACAGACCGGATATGGTGCAGGAATTTCCGACTCCGGGCCGGAGGCCAGCTGAAGTGTTTCGGAGATCTAGCGGCAGATGCAACGTTTATCAGTATCGGTATTGGGGGGGGGGAGTGAAGTCAGTTACGCTTTGCCGACGTCGGATTCAAAAAAAAAATTTCGCTAGCTTCGTCACGTTTGTCCGCCCGTATGTAACTAGTCAAGAGCGGCTGACTAGATTTTCATGTACCTTATTATCGAAAGGGACACGCATTAGCGTAGTTGCTTGAGGAACTATGCTACAAACCGGAAGGTCGCTGGTTCGAGTCCCGATGAGGTGGATTTTTTCAATTTACCTATTCCTTCCAGCCGCACTATGACCCTAGGGTCGTCTCAGCCTCTAACAGAAATGAGTACATGCAATCTTCCTGGGAGCAAAGTGCGGCCGGCGCGTAATGCTGACAACCTCATCGCCATCTGTGAGCCGATTGTCTAGAGAAAATGTGGGAGCCTCGACGTCTCACAACCCCATGGGCCTCCACAGCCTGTTACCTGTGCTTTATTACTGGGAGCTTCTACTACTGTTACAATTTTCTTTAAATTCTTCCGACAATAACGAAAATTTTACTTGAATCCCCACGTGCGTTTAATCTACCGCCGAGGTAGATCAGTCGGTGTATCCACGGGCTGGGGTTCGATTACCGATAATTGTAAGAAATTCTTCTATACTCTACAGCGTCCAGACCGCCTCTGGGACCCACATATACTGGGGGCTACTGCGGTAAAGTGGCCGGGGCGTGAAGCTGACCATTCACCTACATCTAGTACCGAATTCAAGAATGGTGGAGCTATACCTCCACTCCCCCGTACGTCTTCATGGCATGCTGCTTAGTTAGTTAATCACAGGGTGTTTGTGGGAGCGAAGGGTGTTTCGAGCGATAGTTATACAGGAGAATGAAACACATTTTGTGTCCAGTACACTTTTCCCATAAGGCTTTAACTATTTCGAGATAATTAAACAAATGTTGAGAAGATGTTCTTGAATTGTTAGACTGTGTATGCAGTTTCTGACTCTGCGTGCGTGACCTGTGAAGCTAGCAACTTCTTCAACNCCTTTTCCCACCACGGCGGCCCGGGTTCGAGCCAAGATGGTGGATAAAGTGGCAGTGGGGCAGGTTTTCTCCGAGTACTACGGTTTCCCCTGCCAGTTATCAATCCACTGG